TTTTGGCGTCTAGCTTTTAGGGTCCAAAAACCCATTAAACTAGGTTTTTTTTCCCAATAACGCAAACGGTTTTATTAATTAGCCCAATAGGACATATGGAATATTATTTTGTGATTTGCAAAATTTGCTACAATGTTCAAGGAACTCGCCACGTTAAGTTGGCGAGTTTGTCCGAATAATATTTTTTATTGAAACTCGTCACGTCTAAGTGATGAGTTTCAATAAAATATATTTTTTATAAAATTTTATCACATCAAGTAAAAAGTTTGAATACAAATATTTTTTTATTAAAACTCGTCACGTCGATATGACGAGTTCCGAATCACTGTAACAAATATCGTATATCCCAAAATAAATTTCTATATATCCTATTGAACTAATTAATAAAACTGTTTAAAAAAACCCCTAGACTATGTTAGTATTTTTTTTGGCTTACATAATTCTTGGATTTTCTTCCTTGTGGTTTAAACTACAGTTATTATTGGATTCCGGGAAATTTGATTTTCTTTCATTTTGTCATGGAATATTGATCTGTTCAGATTTGTGCGTATTGTAGCTTTAAATCCTTTGCAATCCACCATTATATTTAATTAAATATTTCCTTGTCTGGGTCTTCCTTACAAGTTCGGTTTTGTTTCACTTCTTTGGTGGGGTTTGTCATCTCATCCATACCTAACTTCATTGTCATAATCTAGAGTTTACTCTTCTTCTTTTTTTAATAAATTATTAAAGAACGACAATAAATGAAGAATATTTGTTTTTGGGCTGGTATTTAGTCACTTCATTACAAGGTCCAAGCCTTTGTTTTTCTTCTCCCCTTGAAACACAAGTCTGCTGAATTGCTGGAAATTATGATTTTTACCGCTTCCTCTTGATGTCTTTCTCATGCATCAGGTTCACTGGAAAAACTTGGAAGCTTTTCATCTTCATTGAATTCCTTTTTCACTTACAGATCGTTGTTCAAATGATATTATCAGCAACTTGTCTTGGAATTAATTATGTTATGATCCTCTTAATGTGTTTGTTTCTCATAATCCTGTTTGATGCCTGTTGTTCCTATCTTAATTGTCTTTTTCTTGAAATTTGGTCCTTCTAAGAAACTAATTAGTAGATTTGTTCGATAATTCAATCTTCGGTTATGTTACTCTTTGGATTTAAGAGGGATCTTTACCTGAAGATTGCCAATCTTATTCTATTGCTGTCTCCAGCATCATAGATTGTCTACCTTTATGCATGAATGATGTTACCAGATCTCTCCTTGGCATTGTTTTTAAGATGTTTCTAGTCTCGGAATGCAGAAATTTCATTGTCCATTACGATTTTTGTTCAGATCATATTGCTTTACCTTTCACCATCGTCACTTGTTAGCTTCTGGGTTGAACTTCAATTAGTTAATTTTTAACTTGCCCTTACAATTTGTTCTTCAGGATTCATTTTGTAGTAAGACCACCTCGAGAGGGAAAACCATGTCATTAGTAAGATCAGCAGAGCCGGTTATCGTGGCATGTAGAAATACAAAGCTCTGTGCAGTGCAGGGTAGTGGTAACAGTTCTGGATTGTCTGCTCAAATGTTTGGCTCTGATAAGCAAAAGACCGTGCATTATTCTTACTGCAGTGAGAGCTATGAAAAGTACTTCGACGACTTTCCTTCGGAAGAGCTTACGCATCCATCTGGTTCCGATGTTTTGGGAAGTTCGTTCCGCCCGCAGGATGTCTCTTCTGACCAACTAAGAGGTACTTCAGTTTCCTCCATAACTGCTCAAAAACCATTGAACACTTCTGTTCTCTTATTTTGATTTCTATCATCAGATTACTTGGAAGTCCAAAGTGCAGATAGATTAGATTCCGATACAGATAAGATGAAATTGATGCTTCAAGAACTGGAGATAGATGGTGAATGATACGATCCTATCTGAACAGAACCGATTCATGAATCACCCGAGGAGTTGTTATCCTCGGACATCAGCGGCAATAAAGAGGTATCACATGTTTCATCCAGAACTCCTAAGCAAATGCTTATCGAGTGTGCTGCTGTACTCTCAGAAGGCAACGTTGAATTAGCTTCAGCCATGATAAATGAACTTCGCTTGCTGGTATCAATTAAAGGAGATCCTCCTCAGAGAATCGCAGCATACATGGTTGAAGGTCTTGCTGCTCGAGTGGCTGCATCCGGAAAATATCTTTATAAAGCTTTAAAATGAAAAGAACCCCATTCTTCTGATAGGCTTGCAGCCATGCAAATCCTCTTTGAGGTGTGCCCTTGTTTTAAATTCGGGTTTATGGCTGCAAATGGTGCAATTATAGAGGCATTGAAAGATGAAAAGAGAGTACATATAATAGATTTCGATATAAATCAAGGCAGCCACTATATTACACTGATCCAATCGATTGCTAAGTTGCCTGGTAAGCCACCTCACTTGAGGTTAACAGGATTGATGATCCCGATTCAGTTCAACGTCTTAATGGAGGTCTCAAAGTTATCGGGCTAAGACTTGAGAAGCTAGCTGAAGTACTTGGGGTGTCACTCGAGTTTCATGCTGTTGCCTCTAGGACTTCACTTGTTACTCCATATATGTTGGATTGCCGGTCCGGAGAAGAACTTGTAGTGAACTTTGCATTTCAGCTCCACCACATGCCTGATGAGAGTGTTTCAACAGTAAATCAGAGAGACCACCTTCTTCGGATGGTTAAGAGCTTAAATCCGAAACTTGTTACTGTCGTCGAGCAAGATGTGAACACAAATACATCTCCCTCTTTCCCAAGGTTTATCGAAGCTTGTAGTTACTACTCCGCTGTCTTTGAGTCCCTGGACGCTACACTTCCAAGGGAGAGTCAGGACAGGATGAATGTTGAACGGTAGTGCTTGGCACGGGATATAGTCAACATAGTCGCGTGTGAGGGAGAGGAAAGAATAGAGAGGTACGAGGTTGCAGGAAAGTGGAGGGCAAGGATGATGATGGCTGGCTTCACTTCTTGTCCGATGAGTCCAAATGTGATTGATATTATCCGGAAGCTTATCAGGGAGTACTTTGACAGGTACAAGCTGAAGGAGGATTTAGGTGCACTTCATTTTGGTTGGCAAGGCAAAAGCTTAATTGTAGCTTCGGCATGGAGGTAGAAATATCGGGTTAATGCTTTCATTTTCCCGTACCTGGCTTTTTGATTCGGTTTTGTATGGCAATGGGTCGGGTCGGGTTTTTGGTCCACCCGACCCGAGAACAAGAGAACCTCCGCCCGAGATTCGATCCGACCTGAATATATGACTTAAAAATATGACCCGACCCAAAATAATAAAAAAAATTATTTTTATTCAATAAAAATAGTGACTTAATTGAAAAAATATATATATAGAGAGGTATTATTGTAATTATTCCTAAATATATAAGCTAAAATTATATTTTTTTTTCGGGTCGAGTCGGGTATTTTCACCCTAAATCTTCATCTAACCCGACCCAAATATTACACTTAAAAAAACTCGACCCGACCCGGACCCGATTTTTTTTTAAAAAAAATCTGACCTGATCAGGTCGGGTTTAATGGCCATCCTAATTGTAACTATAAATTTGTGTAGGATCCAGATGCACTTCCTTTTTGCTGATGTAAAATATCAGGGACTAGTTGGGATTGCTGATCGTCTAACATTTTCTTGAATAATACTCCATATGTTTCTTTTGAACCTTGTACATTTAGCAGGATGTCGATAAAATAACTCTCGATGAACATAAGCATTCAAGAAGTTCCATCAAAGGCAGTGTGTTTTGAAAACCGGATCGGCCGGTTCAACCGGAAATCGTTGTCTAGTCTTGTTTAAACTACATTGGTTGAACCGCTATTAGTGAACCGGTCGAAACCGTTGAACCGTTCGAACCGGACCGGCTAAAAACAGGAAAAAAACGCCAATTTTTTTTTTAAATTAAACCAAACGACGTCGTTTGTTAAACGAGCCAAGTCGAACTCGAGTATTGCTGAGCTCGACTCAAACTTTAAAAGTAAGCTCAACTCGACTCAAACTCACAAACTAAAAATTATCTAGTTCAACTCGAACTCGAAATATAATATTGAAACTTGAACTCAAAAAAAATTTAGAAGCTCGATTGAAGCCTAAAATTCGAGCTTGATTGAAGTGAAAGAATAGTTCACTCTATGCTCACCAAAAGGCTCCATGATTTTGAATGCCAAATTACCTCTATTATTTATAGAAGTTAGTTGGGATGATATTCTATGTTTCTTAGCCATGTGAGATTGTTTTGTTCTCATATTTTTACTCTTTAAACTTTTGGGATATTCTTCTATGTTTCTTAGCCATGTGAGATTGTTTTAAAAAAAATTAAACCAAACAATATCATTTTGTTATGATTTTTTTAGCCCAAATTTATTTTTTAATTATAGTTATATAATTATATTTATTATTTAATATGTTTTACCTTAAATATTATGTTGTAGTTAATTTGAATCATTTTGTTTCACTTGATTTTATGATTTTTAACTTATATATGTTATAACTTGCTTTAAATATGACTTGTGATATACAAAATTATTTTTTATTAAATATTTTTGGTGTTTTTATTTAATTTTTTAAATAATTATGACGTCGTCCGGTTCTTCCGACCGGTCGGACCGATTCGACCGGTTAAACCAGTAAACCGATAGCATGACCGGTTCACTAACCGATCTGATTTTGAAAACCATGATCACAGGTTACAAAACTTTCCCAGTATCCAATCAATAACAACCGCATTCTTCCTGGAAAAATATTCAAGTTCGACATTCTTCAACTTCCATCCAACTATAAACTATTTGTTCTATTGGGTTCTCATGTTAGACGTTTTCAAAGTTTACAACGCAATTAAAAGCCCACAATTGAAGGCATGCGTTTTTGCAATTGTTTAATGGATGAGAAATTTGTGGTCAACCAACAAAGGAAACTTTTTGATATATTTTTTTCTCCTCTTTTTCTCAAATGTAAAAATTGACTAAATATTAAATGTTATCCACTTCGATTTCTTCTACACTTCCCTGCACCTCACATTCATTAAGCCACAAACTGAGCATTTATCATCCTTGCAAGAAGACTCTTGAGGGAAGAGCAAAACATGGCCCTGGAAAACTGTTTTCAACTGAGCTCAGTTTGCACCACTAGAGCTGCCGTGATGCAAAGCTACCACTTTCGTTTTTCATCTGTTGAGAAGATTCATTTGCCTGCATTTCGAGGGTTGAACAAACCCAATCCCTCGTTCTCTTCGTCTTCATCTTTTGCTCATTCATTCAAAGGCAGGTGCCAAAAATCTAGGCTCATCTGCAAAGCTCGTGAAGCTGTTGATCAAGGTATGAGGCTGTTCCTTTAAAATAAAGCATTGCTTTTTTTATTATTTTGAAAAAAAAGAGTATATTTCTTGATATTCCATCTCGAAGTGTTTTCTTTTGAACCAAATAAGGTTAAAGTTAGAATTTGATTAATATTCAGCATGCACTTTTGCAGTTGAAGCGGTAACAGAAGCAAACTGGGGAGACGTGGTGGTGCTGGGGAGTAAAACTCCAGTTCTGGTGGAGTTTTGGGCACCATGGTGCGGACCCTGCCGCATGATTGAGCCGGTGATAGCCGACTTAGCAAAAGAATATGGCGGAAAGATCGCTTGTTACAAGCTCAACACCGATGAAAGCCCCAACATTGCGACAGAGTTCGGCATCAGGAGCATCCCCACCATGCTGTTTTTCAAGAATGGGGAGAAGAAAGAGAGCATCATCGGTGCGGTACCCAAGTCTACCTTGTCTGCTAGCATTAACAAATATATCGATACCTGAAACAGATCAAAGTAATGATAGCCTGTTCATGCAATCCCAGCTTTTATATATACTTCATTCAAAATGAACCTTTTGTTTGTTTACTCATGATGTGAATATTACCAGTCAAATATACTTCGCCTTTCACTTTCTCATCCACAATTAACCTGCATTTTCATTGTCAAGGCTAAATTAATGTTATATATTTCATTGCTTTTTCTTTTTTTCTTCTGAAATTAGTACAAAGTGGGAGGAGAGCCCTTAGAATTATCATGGTTTCGCACTATGAATCTGATAGAGACATGGGCATTTCTGCTGAGAAAACAGGAGTTATAATGGAATAACAACCACCAGCTTTGGGAGATCCTTTCACCACGAAGGTTTCCAATCAAATTGACGATTACTAAAACCATGAACTGCAGCTAACCAACTAAGTTGCTGGTTCCTCAAATCCTGTTGGTAATCCATATCTTGATCCCAAGCCATCAGTGTCGTCCCTACCCTTCCATTCACAACATGGTTTTTACCCACTGCAGCTATGATTCCATTGATTATAGCATATTGCCCAAGCCCGCCACCACCGGAATTATGGTTGACTATTCCATTCCCCACAAAACTGTTGTCACCATTGAGAACAGTATTGTTACTTGTTGTCACCATTGAGAACAGTATTGTTACTTGTTGGTTTACACTCAAGTCATTGCCTAGAGTGCCAACCCCAACCGTAGAACCCATGGAAGTAAATTGGCTAGACATTATTTCATGAATGATTTTCTGAACAGAGCTTTGTGATTCACAAGGGTCAGTTTCACCAGTAAGAGCAGGCTGTTGGACGGGCATATTCCCCTCAGAATTAGCAGAACTCATGTGACTAGAAGCTGCCAGGGCACCATGACGAGCTTGCAGAGAATTATTATTAGGCAAGGATGTTGGAGACTGAAGTGAAGAAGGATTAGAGTGTGCTTGTGGTACAGTATTCAAGGAACGAGGAGAAAGAATCTGAACAGGATTTCCAGCATGGGGACTGCTTGCATTGTTCATAGAATTCTTCTGCCTCAAGTTCACAGAATTCTGTTGTTGAAGCTGAACAGTAGCAGCAGATGGTGACGCAGATCCTGCATTAAGAGAGTTATTTACATTATCCACACCAGCAACCTGCATCCTAGAACCCTGGTCAAAACTTTGATCGCTATTAGAACTCTGAGCAACCGTTTGTAGCTCCGGCGTCTGCTGCTGCTGTTGTAGTCGTTCCTCGGGCTGTTCAGCTCGACCTTGAAGAGTACCAGATGAAGTCCTGGTTCTATGAGGAAACTTCACCTAACTCTCTGCAGAAAAATAAAACAAATGAGATAACAGGCGCACTCAGATGTTAAGCCTAATATAAGAACAAATAAATCTAAAGCTACAAACGTATACAGTCTTTTTCCTGTCTACACTGTAATCATTATTCTGCAATCACATTGGAAATAAAGCAAAGTGATTTGCATCAGATGGAGCAAGTCTTTAACAAACTAGGTTCATAATACGAGCTAGAGAAGCTACTAAAGAGAATGATATTCTACAACATAATTGGACCACTATTACAAGAGGTATGAATAGACGGAAAGAACAGTTATCCTGTATGTGCTAAAATTACCTAGTCATTTGGACGTCAAATTGTTACCTAAATACCTATTTCAATTAAATATATGCATAAAGACGGTAATTGCCTCAAACTAATTCATTCTTACTGGGTCCAAACTTGTACTAGTGACCCCTCAAAGATCGATTTATGATTTCTTGACTCTTTATCTAGCATTTTGTATTAACTACGATCCCAGGCTTCGCCATGACTTGAACAACTTTCTTCTTTCTCTCTAATTCCATTTTAGATTCATGTTAGTGCAAAGTTATTAGCCTAACCATAGATTAATTCTACTGATGAGATTTCAATTTCCTTCAGCTTTTTGTGACCATCGGCAAGCAAATATCATCTGCTTAATTACAGAACATTATAAAGTTGACAAGAAGGCCTATAAATCTCACATTGAATATAAGATGATTGTATAACCATCACCATATGAATCTGTGCTAGTTGAATGGGAAAACCCAGTATTTTCTGTCGTCCCACTGTTTTTCCAACTTGGGAAGCTCAGTCAGTAAAACCGATGCAATGAAAAAGCCACAAAATGACCTACAAAATAGATTGATTAAAATGTATTCTAGCTTATCTCTATAAGAAAAAAATGGCTTCTCGAGAAACTCTTAAATGAAAATTGAAATTATGGCTGGATTAGCACCTTCAAACATTTGAAATTATATATTTACAAAAAAAATGCAGCTGCGAAGGTAAAAAATATATATATAAATTTAGCAAACTTACCCATGGGTCCAGTCCTTTTTTCTCTACTGTAATCAATCAAGTCTTTCACACTATTAACCACTTCAGCTATCTGTTTAAAGAAATAACAAAATGTTGCATTATGAGACTATAAATTTCAATACCATGGGTCTTTATGGAGATAAACTGTAAAACTCATCTTCACAACTTAGTTTTTCCAAGTCATACCATGATAACAAACGTTTCAGTCAACAATGTACATCACAATGACATAGTATTACACTTGGTCTTCATAAACGCAACTGCTAGAACACTCTGGTTATGCAAATACATTCAATGCCACAAGAACTTTAGAAGATTGTGGAAATACATAATTTGTAGTAGGAAAAAGAATTCCCAAGTAACATGAAACGATATAAAGGACATCGATGATCAATCTACCTTAGAAACAAAAGGAAATATTGGATAAAGAAAGAGCAATCTTGAAGTACAGAGAGAGAACACAATTAGCCATCAAATCTTTGTTAATGATAGGTGCTTGCAGTGATTCAGCTTTCCTCAAAAGAACTAGAAGCATTTGCTGGCTCATCAATTAACAAAATTGTTTTACATTTTTTCCAGCCTTTATCCAGCAGCCACTGGGAGAAAGAACCAAGTATAATATTGCACAACTTTTTTATCAACAAAATGTAGCACAAAAAGAACAAAGAAAATTTTCAGTTTAGAAATTAGAACTGTAAGAAACAAAGCACAATTAATAAACAATATATACAAAATAGACATTTGAACATTGTGAGAAAAATTCCAAAATATATGAATACATCTCCCCAGTATCCAAATTTATAGTAAGCAGACGCAGGAAATCACCTGAAGGCACTGCACATATCACTTTGTATAAACCAGATCATTTACCAATGGTAAGTCCAAGGCTTTTGCCAATTGCCGAGCTGATGCTACAAACCTAAAATTTATTAATGGTGAAATAGAAATCAATGCAAGCAGTAGAGGTCACACATATAACTTTTATTATTTAAACCAAAAAAAAAGATAAATCTACAGCAAGTCGATTCCATGTCCATGCACATTTTCCCAAGCATGTGTGAGTGTGGGTGTTACCAAGATTCATAACCAGGATCTATATAAACGGAGCATCAAGCATAAGTGAAAAGAGACTAAGGGTGTGCTTGGTTGAGTGGAAAAGTAGGACGGAAGGAAAAGCGAAAAGAAAACAAATTTTGAGTGTACTTGGTAGGAAATAAAACTGAGAGACAATCGTTTTCTATGCTCATGTATAAAAACAAATCATTTCAAATTGGGATGAAAAGGGGAGAGAAAATGTAAGCTAGATCAAAATTATGTATTTCCAAAAGCTTTGTTTTCTCTTGTCTTTTTTAACTCAACCAAACAATGAATGGAAAGATGTCAGAGATTAGTTTCTTTAATTGAAGGATTTGTAAATATTTTATTTGATTAGGATCCCTTACTCTAAGGGTTTGTATTTTGTTACTAAAAGTAGTTTATTACCTAGTTTAGAAGTTACCTAAGATAAGTTTTAGGTTTGTGTATTAATTTGTAAGTTTTTTCGCTGTTGAATAATAAGAAAGACAGTCTTTTCGACATAGTATCAGAGCCTCTCATTTCTTAGGCCTTACTATTCTTGTTGGACAGTATTTTTTATCTTTTTTTTCTTGCGAGAGTATGGCCAATACGAATGATTCAATCAGTACTTAAACTGCTCAAGAAGACACCATGAATAAAAGGAGTTACTCCAATTTGACGAGTGACTTACATAACATACAAGTCTCCTATAGGTTGAATGGTAAAAGTTACCATAAGTGGTTTCAATTGGTTCGAACTTTCCTCAAAGGAAGGGGTAAACTCGGTCACCTTCTTGGAATTGGTCCTGAGGAAGGAGATCCCAAATTTGAAGCTTGCGATGAACAAGATTCGTTAGTCATAACTTGGTTGTGGAATTCGATGGTACCCGAAATCAATGACACTTGCATGTTCCTCAGTACAACCACAGAGATATGGGAGGCTGTAAAACAAACCTATTCAAAAGTTAGAGATGCTGCCCAGATTTATGAAATTAAAAGCAAGATTTCGGCCACCAAACAAGTAAGCAAATCCATTACAGAATATTCTAACCTACTGCAGAGTCTCTGGCAGGAAATGAATCACTACCAATGCATTCAGATGAAATGCAGTGAGGATGCAACAACTCTAAAGAGGTTTGTCGAAAAAGATAAAATTTATGATTTTCTTGCTGTACTGAATATAGAATTTGATGCAGTGAGATTCAAGATTTTGGGGAATGAATATTTGCCCTCATTAAATGAGGCTATTGCTACCATTCGTGTTGAAGAAGGAAGAGGAGTGATGGTGGTCGAAAACAGCCAAGTTGAAAGCTCAGCCTTGGTTACCAGAACAATCTTTGAGAGGTCAACACGTCTAGAAAATATTAAAGATAGACCAAAAATAACAATGACAGTAAACAAAGACTCCTTTCGGTGTACTTACTGCAAAAAGCCTCGACACACCAAAGAGAAATGCTAGAGGCTACATGGGAAGCCTCCTTCAACAAATATAAATTTCACGGAGAAAGAAGGCTTAGCAAGAGGACAGAACATAGCTTTTGCAACCAGACAAGTGGCTAAAGAGTCAGATGAACAATCTGTTGAGTTCAACCGAGAAGAAGTAGAAAAGTTGAAAAAACTTCTAGAATATTTAGGAGAACCATTCTCTACAGGTACACGCAATTTGGTCTTCTCAAATATACCCTCTTCTTCAACTCAAAATTCTAATGCCTCCACCTACATATCTACAC